GATGCATTGCAGAGTCATTTAAAGCAGTTTGATATAGTGTCAAAGAGTCAGCATGGTTTCACTAAGGGAAAGTTTTGTTTAACAAATCTTCCAACATTCTTTGAAGATGTTACTGCAATAGTTGATGAAGAAATTACTGTGGATTTGGTTTACCTTGATTTTTAGAAAGTGTTTGAAACGGTGCCTCACAAAAGACTTGTTATAAAGATTAAATCTGTGGGTGTGGGGGAAATGCAATTAGATCTGACTGGATCACAGTTACAAGCAGTGTGTCTCAGGGCTCTGTGCTGGGTCCTCTGCTGTTCGTGATTTATATTAATGGTATTGATACTGGAATGACTAATTAAACTTTGAAGGTTGAAGATGAAATTAAGATTTTTGGGGTGGCTAACTGTATCAAAGATGCTGCAGACTTTCAGGGAGATTTAGATCATTTGATGCATTGGGCCAATACATGGCAGATGTTGTTAACTATCCATAAAGTAAGGTGATACATGTAGGTTTTAATGGGAATGTAATAAATACTGTGGTTTAAGAAAAAGATCTTGGTGGTGTGATCGAAAAATTGCTTTAGTCATCTAAACAGTGTACTCTATTAGCAATAGAGCTAACAGGATTTTAGATAGCATCTATAGAAATATCAAATATAAGATAAGGGATATTACTGTTTCACTGTACAGATCACTTATAAAGCCTCATTTAGAGTACTGTCACTACTGTATACAGTTTGGGGCTCCCTTCCTCAAGAAAGACGTTGAATTGTTGGAGAAGGTTCATTGATACCTGGGATGGCAGGATTGTACTATGAGGAGCGATTAAAATCTATAAATTTGTTTTCTCTGGTGAGAAGGGTCAGAGGGTATTTGATTGAAGTGTTTAAGATTATTAAGGGTATTGATAATATAGATCCATCAAACTTTTTTTGTGTTTAGCAGTGAAAACAATAGGACAAGGAGTCATAAATTCAAATTTTGAAAGCGTAGGAGTCGTCTGCAGTTTAGACAGTATTACTTTTCACACAGGGTGGTTGGCATTTGGAATGAGCTGCCTTCAAGGGTGGTGGGGCAGAAAATTTAACTGAGTTCAAGAAAAGATTGGATGAATGCACGAGTAGTAAGGGGTGGTTATAGTTGGGAGCTGGAAGTGATATCCTTGATGGGCTAATAAGCTCCATTTTGTCCTATTAAAATTTTATGAACTTATAAGTATTTGTTAGCCTAATAAATAAAATTATTGCAAATATTTGTTTTCTCTGGTTGGTTACAAAACATTTTGAGTAACTTCATAATTACAGATATAACATTTAAGGCCTCAACATTGTCATAAACATGCTTATAAATATGTAGAAAAATATTGAGTTGTCAGAAATAACAAGTAAGAAAAATGTACACAGTATTGTTGCAACTTGTGAGTGATAAGTAAGTAAATCTTTTGTTGTTGCTAAATATTCAGTTTCAAAAAAGTAACTCAATTCTAAACTACTGTGCCTGAAGCCCAAAGACAGGGTTTCCTCTCGCTTTTTCATATTTTGTTGCTTGGTAAAAGTTTTAAAGTCAACTTTATATATAATTCTAACTATATTTCAATAGTTTTAACTCAAAATGTTTCAAAAATTGATGTTAATCATTTTCTGATATTTACTTAGTTTAATTCACGAAGAAAACAAAATGTATATTTCAGCTAAGCAAAGAGAGACAGGCTGAATAAGTAAGTAAGAAAACTTTATATCAAACTCAGTAACAAATGTACAGTTTGAAGAAGGTTTATCAGGTACAAGTAGTATTAAACAAAGTCACATGACTGGATATTGATCAAGGCTTAAAAAAGGTATCTTGTTGACATTTGATTCTTTTTAATAAATATACTATGGTTTTATTGAGTTGAAATATTTACAAGTTCTTTTTCATATTAATATAGTTTAGTGTTTAGTGAGTATGATAGGTGACTACAAAATATTCCAATGACTCGCATTTTTACTGAATATTGTTTTTATGTTTATCTTATTCAAAGAATACACTTTACGTTGGCTAATTGGCAACTTAATTACTTCTAATTGCACTATGTTTTAAATAAAAACATTATTAGAATTATCAGTGATAATGAAATATGTTTCCATTATTTACTTATCAACTTGTATGAATTACAGATCAGTGTTGGATTACTGTATACTTTAAAGACAAACATAATGGCAATGGCCTGGTGAAATTTTGTTGACAATAGCAATTCATCAGCCAAGTAAGAAATATTCAGATTATCTTAAGAAAAATATATTTCAGACCAAACAACAAGTTTTTTGAAAATTGCTTAAAGAAAAAAAAACATGAAACACTGATACTATGTTCAAAAAATGCAGTAACAAAACTGGCTAGTACAGGTGTGTATATACACTGATTAATAGAATATAACTGATGAAAGAGCCTGTTGATTAACTGATTAGTAAATACCACTAATCACCTAGCTCTACTGGATCCCTGTGTCAAAGTTGGGATTGTATCAAAATGGTGAAATCCCATGTTATGATGAGTGCACATAGCATAGTTATAATTTACTTATTGATATATCAACACAGTAATATCTCAAGTCACAATTAAACAGAATACCTGACAATGATCAGACCATCCTTCCATATCTTTACAGTCAGAGATTTCTTTTTCTACACTGTTTAAAGCCTGGAAGAGGTTTTTCCAAATTAAATGAAGGTTAAATCCATTCATCCAGTTGTGATTGATTGAAATTGTGTCTTCCTGGAACAGAAACCATTTCAATTTCTGTTATCTTTACTTTAGAAACAAGAACTAAACTTTATCTGATTACTGGACTAACAACAGGTGGAGAATCATGAACTGGCATCCTAAGGCAAGATAAAAGTAATTAAAAACGAATTAAAACAAACAAATTAATTAACTTAAATAAATGCTATAAATAAATTTACATAATTAAGAACTTTTGAACAAACATAACCTAATGGACAAAAACAAAAACAATTTGGAAACCCCATACATCTTGTTAAAAAATAAATGTAGAGTCATGACTGGTAAACCATATTAGTTTTACTATTTGATACCATAGCGTAGAAGCAGGACTGGTAAACTCTATTAGTTTTACTATTTGATACCGTAGTGGAGAGCCATGACTGGTAAATAATATTAGTTTTACTATTTGATAATGTAGAATACAAGCAGGACTGGTAAACCATACTAGTTTTACTATTTGATACTGTAGTGTAGAAGCAGGACTGGTAAATCATATTAGTTTTACTATTTGATACTGTAGTGTACAAGCAGGACTGGTAAACCATACTAATTTTACTATTTGATACTGTAGTGTACAAGCAGGACTGGTAAACCATATTAGTTTTACTATTTGATACCGTAGTGGAGAGCCATGACTGGTAAACCCTATTAGTTTTACTATTTGATACCGTAGTGGAGAGCCATGACTGGTAAATCATATTAGTTTTACTATTTGATACTGTAGTGTACAAGCAGGACTGGTAAACCATACTAATTTTACTATTTGATACTGTAGTGTACAAGCAGGACTGGTAAACCATATTAGTTTTACTATTTGATACCGTAGTGTACAAGCAGGACTGGTAAACCATACTAGTTTTACTATTTGATACTGTAGCATAGAAGCAGGACTGGTAAACCATATTAGTTTTAGTATTTGGTACCGTAGTGTACAAGCAGGACTGGTAAACCATACTAGTTTTACTATTTGGTACTGTAGCATAGAAGCAGGACTGTGATACCATAATGGACAGCCATGAGTGGAAAATCCTACTAATTTTACTGTGTGATACCATACTTGAGAGCCATGGTAAATCATATTAGTTTTACTGTGTGATACCATAGTGGTGAGCCATGACTGGTAAATCATATTAGTTTTACTGTGTGATACCATAGTGGAGAGCCATGACTGGTAAATCATATTAGTTTTACTGTGTGATACCATAGTGGGGAGCCATGACTGGTAAAACATATTAGTTTTACTGTGTGATACCATACTTGAGAGCCATGGTAAATCATATTAGTTTTACTGTGTGATACCATAGTGGAGAGCCATGACTGGTAAATCATATTAGTTTTATCGTGTGATACCATAGTGGAGAGCCATGACTGGTAAATCATATTAGTTTTACTGTGTGATACCATAGTGGAGAGCCATGACTGGTAAATCATATTAGTTTTACTGTGTGATACCATAGTGGAGAGCCATGACTGGTAAATCATATTAGATTTACTGTGCGATACCATGCTTGACGGATAAATTGTACTAATGTAGTTACAGTATGCAATACTATATAGAGAAATTACTCAATACTAACAAAGAATTATAACAAAAAGAGCATTGCTAAGAACCTTACCAAGTTCCACACCTGGTGAAACCAACCACTTGGTACAAACACAACTTCTCCTGCCTCTTGAATAATTTCTATTCCTATTCTTTGAAGCTTAGAAGCTTTTGGATAGCAATTTTTATCCTTAAGCAACGGAGAGGAAATATCATACGCCATCTCTCCTTTCCAGTCAACCAGATTTTCTTCATCCCCTGGTGGAAAGAGTAGCCATTTTTTTTTTCCACACACATTTGCTGACCAACTGTATGATCCAAAGACATCTGCATGGAAAGGAGTCCTGCAGTAACCACAACATATAATATCTTAACTCTACTTGTAACATTAAGATAAAGTTTTTGTTTCTTTCAGACATTCACTCAAAGCTTACAAATGAGCTCTCTATGATAGCTGCTCCTCATAGACAATTGTATTATTCTAATCAGATAGTGAGATGTTACTGTTAATCTTATGATAAACCCATGGCACCAGAGTGCAAAGCATAATTCTGTGGCAGTAAGAACCATGAAACTTTGGATTCAGGGTGCAGTACATGAGCTTAGCATAACCTTTGTCCACTGACACATGAACTTAGCATAACCCTTGTCCACTGATTTTATTCTAATATTGTTGCTTAATTTAATACTCTTAAAGTAGTTATTTATTTGATTAATTATTTCTCCATGTATCTTTAACCTTTAATAACTCTAACTACACCTTGACTTTTCTATTTTATTTCCACCTAAGACATGCATTTCCATTATACTTCCAACTAATATTCTTAATAATATCAACTAATATTTTTATATCATCATCAATTTTTACTTTTATCATTTATTATTACAGGTTTTACTTAATTGTATATGTTTTTACATTCTTTATCTTACATATTTTGTTGTAAATTTTACTTCCCCAATTTTTTACATTTTTTTCTATGATTCCCCATTTTTCCTTTATTATTTCAGTCTTCCTTCTCTTCCCTATTCCCACACTGAAAGTCACACCTCCAACATCCAAAGACAGCCTAAACAAAGGTTGGGTAACTGAAACACCCATAATATCACTGATGTTTACATCTTAAACTTCACAGTTTACTTCCTGAGGAAGGAAAGTCTTTCTTCCAAAAAACATCTGTGGTCAGCTCTGCTTGCTTTAATGCATCATATCTTAACATTTATGAATTTCTGTTCTTACTAAAACATCACAATAAAAAATGTCATTAATTTCAAAGCCTTCCAGTTCACTTTAATGTATTTTGTTATAATTATATCTTTTAGAAATCAAAAATAAATTGATTGAACTTGTTTCAGTAATACCACATTCAAATGAAAACAATGAATCAAGATTGATAGAGAGCATTTCCATTGTATACCATGATCCTTTTGGGCCCAAATAAACAAACTGATAATCATCACACTCATCTGTCCGTTTTTTCCAGTATTCATTTAACCAATCAGATGTAAAGAAGATGGGTGTAGTGTATGCTGAGTAGCCTGGAAAATCTCTAAAAATAAGATAAAAAAAAATCTAAATTAAAATCAGTTAAAGACATTACAGAAGTTTTATGCTGAATAAATGTTTAAGATTTACATTCTAAAGAATGAAAATGAATCCCAAAAATTCTGTTTTTTTCATAATTTACATACCTTTCATAACATGAAAGATATACTCACATTGTGAAACAAAAGGCTTATATACTGAAATTTAAATCAGGCAAGGGCAGCTACATTAACCTATTTATGAAACAACTGGAACCATCGCTTACGATACAACAGTCAAAATCTGAATAAGATGCAAATTGAGACGTTTTGTAAAAAAAATTGCCTTTGTAAACACTACTTTAATAAAAACAAGCAACATGCTCTGGTCCCAAAAGATGCACAGCTATTAAAACTTCTTTATCTATGCATCTTATGTAAAAATGCATTTTTATTATACATATACACACCAACAATTACATAACCGTGTAAGTATAACTGTAACAAACAACTGTTTTTCTTACAGTTTAGAATCATGTATCTATTATTATACCTTATCAAGGATGTGCAAAGCTGAGTAATCACCTGTATACCTTTGATGTGTATATATACACAAGCTGAGTAATTACCCTTACACATTTGACGTATATATACATAAGCTGAGTAATCACCTGTACATCTTTGACGTATATATATAAACAAGCTGAGTAATCACTGGTACACCTTTGATGTATATATACATAAGCTGAGCAATCACTCGTACACCTCTGATGTATATATATATATATATATATACAAAAGCTGAGTAATCACCCATACACCTTTGATGTATATATATACACATAAGCTGGATAATCACCTGTACACCTTTGATGTATATATACATAAGCTGAGTAATCACCTGTACACCTTTGATGTATATATACATAAGCTGAGTAATCACCTGTACACCTTTGATGTATATATATACACATAAGCTGAGTAATCACCTGTACACCTTTGATGTATATATACATAAGCTGAGTAATCACCTGTACACCTTTGATGTATATATACATAAGCTGAGTAATCACCTGTACACCTTTGATGTATGTATACATAAGCTGAGTAATCACCCGTACACCTTT